CATTTGCGATGGCCATGAAGTCTGTGAGCATTTCTCGCTTCTGCGCAGTCAATTGCTGCTCGGCACTTTCGTCTGAAATGAAAAATGAAACTTTACTTCACGATTACCCCAAAGCTATTAAGTAGGAGATATTCTGCACCAAATAAATCTGGAAATTTGAGTCATCCAAAGTGGTGCAAATCTGGTCAGAGGATGAAGTTCGCTCAATTTACAGATGTTATGAACAAACGCAGTTCCACTCAAAACAAGTCATGTTAACAATATGACGATAATGGAAAAAGCCCAAACACATGTTTGAATCCAGAAGAAAGGGGCAAGAACCACAGCGTGCTGTAGTCATGCCTCTTCCGAAGTTTCTACGCTTCCGCTATGGCGCATATTGTTCTGATAAGTGCGGGGATATCATCGACACAAATGAAACGAAGATTTTTTCAACCATAAAAAATTTTCGTGGACAAACTGAACAAAAACTTCATGAGATTGCGACTACAGGACAATGTTCAATAGCACTCACTCAATTTATTTTCGTCTTTTTCAGGATGAAGCGAGATTTCTTCAAGATAGTGTGACAATCCGTTCCGTAAACTTCTCATTTCATATTTTTCATAGATACCTGATCTACTCTATGTGATTGTAAGATTTTTTAATTATCTTAGCAAAATAATGAAGAAATTTGATTCAAATGAGATATATGCTTTTTTGGCCCCATGTACATACTGGCGCAAAAAGTGAATATGGGAAATTTCAATTTATGTATGGCCGAACTGAAGCCATTGCCCTCCTAAACATTCACTTTTGTATTGACGGAGTGCAGCAGCGATCGAACCAACAGGCTGCCCTGATGTTCTATTCGAGGCCCCTCTGGCGTCCTGCATGTTTACTACATTTCTGCCTTACTGCTTTTTCAAACAGTAATTTTTTTGGACAAAGTGTGCAGGTCGCCTTACAAGCTTAGTTATTTTCTTCTCTTTCCTAGGGAAGTTTGCGGAGAAAGAAGGTAGAATCCCACAAAAATGTGCGTTATACCCATTGCACGATAGGCCAAAATGGGTAAACTGTATGGTTGAAGGAAAAAATATTCTCCCATGAAGGAAGCAAAATAAAATCAAGGAAATAAACGTTAACGAATGCTATAACATAACAACCTTGCTCAGTGCCTTCTCCACTTCCATCTCCAGCACCATCAAGCTCAATCGGTGATAGCCTTTGCTCAGCTGAGGCAGATTCATCCTCTTGTTTCACTTCTAGCTTTGGCTGCTTTGTAGGGCTGGGCCCATCATTCTCCTCTTTCACTTTGGACATTTGTTCTATAGCTGAGACTGGTTCATCTTCCTCTCGTTTTACTTCAGAATTTAGAGCAGAGACGGATTCATCATCATCTTCCTCCTTTATCTTTGACATGGGTGACCTAAAGCCATATAACTATTATTTACAAACGGCAATAAAGTAGCAAACAACTTTGTTTACGAATTTACTTTCCCGCACAGTGTTGGACCATTGCCAATCGAGGTGACAAGACGCAACGCGGTTATTGCGTGTTGGAAAAGGCGGACGTGGACCGTCCGCCCATTTTTCTGCGCCCCGCATCTGCGTGTCAGGCTCGGCGTTCTCCTTGGATTTTTATTCCTTACGCTGTTTCAATGACGTGTCCTTTTGTCCCATTTTTCTTGGAGACCCTTCTCATCCGGAATTGGAACTTTGTCCTTCTGAGGACTTCAATTTACATAATTTTTGCTCGAAATTCTGGGAAAACCCTCTTTTCACCTCTTCCCTTTTTTATTCTCTTTCTCATTCCTTTGTCCGTACGTATC